CGGTAACGTAATCGAATTTACTTTACGGCTGCGCTAGCCAGTGCTTGAAGACATTACATGTAATATCATAATATGTAATATTAATTAATGAGGCGAAGTTATACTAATGTCTTAAATTTCATCATATTCACGAGAAATCACAATTTCATTTCTGTACCTAATTTGTGATTACGGAAACGGATATTATTTCCCGAAGTGTGTTGCACATTTCAAAAGGGTATAGTAACTATTCATTTATTAATGAATTCGTGAGATAAAAGTAATTAAGACGATAAATCTTATTCATAAGAGCATGAGTGGTATAAAATTCGGTTTGTGATTATGAAGTAATATCGAGGGATAAATGTTCTGTTAAGTATGAATTTAAATACTATTCGTTAAATATGCTGCTTGATCTTCTTCGATACAATGTATGCGAAGAAATTTCTATGTGAAATTAAGAGACGGAGTGCCGGATTTGTGTTAATTTGCAATTAGATTAAGTGGGATTAACTGGATCGATGTTTCACGTGCACCGGACGTTGCTGGACTCGACAGCAAGCACGACCGGAGGCTGGCTGCAGCGGCCACGCGGCCAGCCAGTTTGCAGACAGCCAGACTCATTGGAATTTTAATCGGCGTGATCAAAGCGCACCGGCGACACTCGGCAGCCTAGAACAAACTCCAAACTCTTGTTTTTTTTTCTCGCTTCATTTGCAGTGGTCGCCCAGTACTTTGAGGTTCAGGTTTACGATCAGTTCGCGATACGCGGCAACGCGGCTATTTTCAAGTGTCAAGTTCCCTCGTTCGTGGCCGACCACGTGGACGTGGTGGGATGGATCGATTCCAACGGCGGCAGCTACGTCGCCGACGCACAATCATATGGTAGTAAAAATTGAAGGGACGCAGCGCACTGTGTGTATTGTGTTCCCCTTTATGAACTGGCAGATCGTAAATTTGGTTTGAATAGGGCGCAGATCACCAGTCACCGGACGTGAGAACTGGATCGCTCGACCGAGTTAGTCGATGTCTTGCATGCGCTTTCTACGATTCTCTCTTTTCCTCCTAACGATACTACGTATCATGTTTGTTTAAGTGCGCGAAGTGTATAAGGCGCATATAATGCGATTAGATATCTTCCATATCGTTGCGATGCGCATCGATGCCACTTGTTTATTGAACGTGTATAACGAATCGTATGTAATGTTGAACATCGATCGCGTCTATTTCAAGACCGGTCGCGCGACCAGTTCTCTTTGACAGAAACATATTCTTCAGTTGCCATAGATAGTAGAGTTTATTTTAATTCACAAAGAAAAGAGACGCGACGTTGACGTGAATAGGATTCCTAATTATGATAGGCTCGCCGAGCGGAATTTATCGAGTCGTTGAAAATCCATCGTGATGATTACATTATGTACAAGTTTGAAAATAACGTCTGAATCGCTCGTTGAATACCTGTTTTTATAATTATAAATTCTGAAAGTTTGTTATATGTTCAATTTTTATTGAACATTCTACATACAATAAAACTGAAGCATTTTTTTTTATTTAAATAAGGATGTGTTACACATATTTTTCAACAAAATCAGAAAATTATTTTAAAAAATTACAGATTTTTCTTTATTGTATTTCAAATTAGTACGAAAAGGCAATTTGGAACCTGGAAAAATTTTTTGTTAAGAAATAAATACGTTTTTAAAAATAATTAAAATAAAATAAGAAAATTTTCTCTTAAACTGTAACTGTGTTTGTATTGTTAAACATAATTATTGATCTTATTAAATTTTGTTTTATATAATATATTTATTTTTTAGGGAAAGTATAAATTTTCCATTCTAGTCACGTCGCAGAAACTAAACATCCAATATATTATTAAAGCTGTGTCTTATCCAAAATAAAATATTCTTAACATTTTTGTGGTACAAGTTCTGCGATAATACCGAATGTGTCATTCAAATTGAATTCCTTAAAGCTTACAATATATTATTTAGATGACTATTTATCTTCGAGCCAATACAATAGTATACCTGATCATAGGTTTCCTCTTTTCTTGATATGAAATAACATAAATTCTTACTTTACATTAATAAAACTAGCTCTTATTAATGAAACTTTTTCTCTTTTCTCACGGTTTATAAATTTTATTAAGATCTACTTGGAAATTACGTAATATAAACTGCGTTTATATAATAAACGGATAAACGAGATAGTTGAATAAGCTCATACATAAATACACAATTAAGTATTTTGTCTATCAATTGTAATGCCTCATCCATCATTGTAAAATTAATTCATAATGAAATTAATGACGTAAATTCCTATTATCACTTTTTACGTACAAATCGACGAAATCGTCAACTGCACGAAGTCGAAATCGTGTGTAATCAATCGACGAATGATCGACACGTCCTGTCAGGTGGTAGATGTGCGCCTTATGGTAAAACCGGAAATCGGTGTCTGGTTGCAGTTGTCGGGCAGCGGTATGCAGTGAACGTGATGGACGAACACGTCCTTCGGGGGAACGCCGCAATTATCAAGTGTCACATACCGAGCTTCGTCGCCGAATTCGTCGAGGTTGACTCTTGGATCGAAGACGAGACCACTGATATATATCCTAGCGCCGATTACGGTACATACAAGGCGCAATATTTCATATCATCTTCACTCTGCTCGAATATCGCGTGAATCTTCCATTTCTATGACACTTGCAATCCATCAAATTGGCGTATTATCTGGATACTTATTACAGAAATAAACGCATAGAACGAATAGAATAGGAATTATGTTCTATTTTTGTGTGTATTTATATTATTCCATTATCGAAGTTGTATGATTCGTGAGATAACATCTGTGCAGAAGATTTTAGAATCAGTCTAGAAGCAGATTCTTCGACTAGTTTTTCTTATGATTTTTCGTTTTTTTCCTTCTTTCCGATGTATCTTGTACAATATTTTAGTTGAAAAACTTAATGCATTTTCTTTGGATTATTTGTTCTGTAAGAGCGATGCATTTCAAGCGTTCGGTAAACGTAGAATTACAGTGGTCGGCAAACTATTAGTATGCGGTAATGAGATCAAGGATTCTCTCATGACTGACGTCGTCCGACCATCGTTCGGTAATGACACTTCGTTTGACGATCGCTTTCGCGTTCGAGCAAAAATTATCCTCGGCTCGACCGTGACAAATAAATAATAATTAAAAACGTGCTGGTTTCAATCACGAGATCCCGAACGAAATAAAATACGTGCACAGTGACAATGGTTTTGACACAAATTTGGACACATGAGAGGAAAAAAAGGGAACGGCAGGAAAAGGGAATAAACTATTTCGCCAATACAAATTTATAGTTGCGAAATAACGAAAATACCAATCCAGGTCGTTTAAATCGTTCCATCGGCCTCCGCTCTATCGACCAAGTACCGCTCGAATCGATATCACGCGTGCGAAATACAAGATATACGTGCTCTCTTGTTTTGATGTCCCTCGTTTCAAAAGTACTGTGCAATGTGGGATTTTACGTGGAAATTTGTATGTAAATTTGTACGACGTTGACTGCCGCTGCTCGCGCTGTTCCAGACCTCTCTTCCCTCTTTCCACCGATTTTTTTTCCGATCGTTTGATTCGGCCCATCCGTCTCTTCTCACCTGTACCCTCCTCTCTGTGTGGTAGTAGCTAAATGGCTGTGGATAGCTTGTGTGTGATCGCATGAAACTAGTTCGCCTATCCAGGAAGTCTCGTTTGTCGATGAGATTCGGCCGCAAAAGCGATCAGATTTGTTAGAGGCGTTGGATTTTCAACCACAATGGAGATTAACTTTAACATGCAAAATGGATTAACAGCAATTCGTTATATCCCGTTTATTAAGATAATCTGTAGCAAGTGATATTGTACATAGATATTTGCTAGAATCATTTTTGGAAAATTAATGATAAAGTCTTTACGAAATAATTTCTTTCTTTCTTGTATTGTTTATAGTATTGATAAATACTGTAGATTTTGTACTTAGGATGATTTTTTGTTCTCTTTACGGTTATATTGTAATAGATACAAAAGACATATAGATTTCCTGGATACTTCAACGAGCAAGAAGAATATCGCATATATTTACATTCGTAAAGAGATGAAGATGTGATTTCGCATAATATCTTTCCCATGAATCTGTAAGTGGACGCGAGATTCTTTTGCTGTTGTTTGACGAACGTGCTTTGATTCCATAAAGAATTCGCCGAATTGTCGAAGCGGGAAATTGAAGGGTCCGTGTTCATTCAGCATTCGGCGAATTCGTACACTGCATGTAGGTACATTAAGTAAGAGCATTGTGCTTGAAACATAGTATACAGAGAGAACAATTTTGCCGAGTATATAAAAATTTAGTTAGATTTAAAAACTAACTTTTTTATTTTATTAAAATAATTATGTAGGACGCTTAAGCATAATAAGCAAAAAATTTGACATTCTATAGCAATTATCTTGAACGTCCTACATAAATATTTTAATGGTCCAATAAAATTATTTTAGCCTAGTAAACACTAAGAGTAATGTAACATTGATGTTATATTACTTTTAGTTATGTTAATGTTTACTGGGGTAGATCTGAAAATAAACTTTTTGGCTTACCAAAATAATTATATAGGACACTAAAAATATGATGAGCAAAAAGTTTTGATATTCTAGCAAATCTTGAACGTTCTACATAATTATTTTGATGATCCAATAAAATTATTTTTAGATGGGTATCTAGTTAAATTTTTAGATACTTCAACGAAGCTTTCTGTGTAATATTATATCACTGTCATTCGAGCATCGTGCAGTTAAGTCGGGATAATCGACTTCCCCTTGATATTAATAACATATATGTATGTCTTTGTAATTAATTAGTGGCGATGTGCCCATAACTAATCAATTTAATAATATCGCATGACATCAAATAATACGATAATCAGTCGATCGATTATCCCGACAAGTTGCGTAAGGACTAATGCGCAATGACTAACGTATGCAACTCTGAACGGGTTTAGATGGAAAATACTTGGTGCTGCCATCCGGAGAGCTGCACATCAGGGACGTCGGACCCGAAGACGGATATAAGACTTACCAATGCCGCACGAAGCATAGGCTCACTGGCGAAACTAGGCTATCCGCAACGAAGGGTCGTCTTGTCATTACTGGTGAGTGAAAACGCAGAAGTGTCTCGTTCCTTTTGTACGGAAATTACGATTCTGATTCAGCATCACTCTCTTTGACAAATGTTTCTCATCCTTCGATTTAAACGGAGGAGTACAACTTCACTAATCAATGTTTCTATACCTGTTTTTCTGAAAGAAATCAGAATCGTATTTCTCATTTCGAACCTGGACGCCACAGTTCACATTTTTCACTTTCTAGATCAATATAAGTACAGTTATTTGTGGCAATTAATTTATATCATAGACACGCATATTACGATCATGGAAGTTAATTAATTATGAAACCGTTGTTGCGTAATAATTTGTTTATTTACCGAGTTAGCTGTAAATTAATCGGGTTAATATAAATATAAATTTATGTGCAGGTATATAAAATATTTTCCCTTTTTTTTTTCTTTCTAAATATGATAGTTTATAGGTGTATCTCTTCCAATTTAACATAAATTTTGAAACATCAATTTTTTAATGCCGTTGTTATTAGCTACCTATTTCTCTCATTGTGAGGTGTCTAGGTTCGAAATTATTATCCAAAAGATTATTGATTTTCCATAATAAAAATAAATATACACGAAACTAATATTTTAAGTAATTAGTGTAATCTTCCAAATTATTTTCTAAATTACTATTATTGTCGTGCAAGGCATTGTACTTTCTAGGAAAATCAGTTGTCTTTTTGGATATACAATCACGTTCCACGAACGTGCAATCGTTTGCGCCAACGAGCTTGATCGACAATTTCATGCTCGGTTCTTTCCGAAAACGCGAAGGACTGTTAGGAGAAATAATTCGATATTTTTATATTACGAACTTTACCTTCGAATTTATTATCTTAGAAAAGCCGAAATGCATGTCCGGCATTTAGCGCGGTCAAGCTCGAGGGTGAACCTGAATGCTGGGACAGGGTACCCCTGCGGGCACGCGCCACCGCCCGCCCAAAACTCGACTCTTGATATAATCGATTTCGAGAGGAAATATCCAAAGACAAATGAATGAAAAAAAAAAAAAAGAAATAAATGACTTGTGCGAAATTCTTTCGAAATGCTTTGCGGCGCCTTCCGCGATCTCCGGGCTCTGTCCTTCGCTCTCGCGTGGTAAGTTTACGGAACATGTTCTTTCAGCCGAGAACTTCATCGTGTGGATGCTGCACATAGTTCTATAGATGTTAATACTCAACGCAGCTGAGCTTCGTTTCTGTGAATCGATCGTTTAATTAAGCGGCGTCGTCTTTGTTCGCTCTTGCAGTAAATGAGCAGGAACATTCGAACCGTTAAGTGCGACAATGATACTAGCCATAATTTTCCCATTTTGAAAAGAATTCTTTTCAATCATGTTTTATCTTTATTAATTTTTAGGAAAAAAATTGAAATTTTATAACGAACTCGAACACAATGAAATTGTTATAGAATTTTGTTTTCCATCCTTTTTAGTTCGTGATTTGTAGCACTACTTCATTCAATAGCACATCGTGTAATTCGGATAGTCTAGAGTTAAGAAATTCTCTTAGATATACTGCGATGGATTCACCGCACCACAACGCGACATTGAGCGCGAAATCACTTTTGTTTCGCCATCGCTTTCGCGTAGCCGTTGAATATCTACACTGATCGGCAGGATGACACCGATAAACGAATTGCTTTCTTCGTATGAGCGGTGCAATAGCGTAGGCAAAGCTGTCGAGTCACGTCGACGCGATGCAATAATCTAGGGGCTACAACTAGAGCAAGATGCAATATAGCCGTAATGACACTGATTGGCGACACGAGCATGGGGTTTGACAAGTATATGGCTCTACTGGCTTTTCGTTATGCAGAACCCGTGGGCAGTGTGCGACCAAAGTTTCCTACGATGGACAACATAAATGGACTTTCTGTGGGCTTGGAAGGCAATATACCGCTTCTGTGCCCTGCCCAAGGATTTCCAGTACCGTCTCATAGGTACGATACTCTTGATCAGAACAGAGATGAACTCTCGATTGGGAAACTATTAAAGGAACATATAAAGTAGTTTGCAGGATGGTTTTATAATAATGATACTTTCCTTTACGTGTTAAATTATAACAGACAGTAATTTTTAAAATGACAGGGAATAAAATTCTAGAGCATAGAAGTTTGTATCAATAGTGCTGTAATGTTACAATGTTACTGCAATTATTGGAATGTTGTAAATATTATTGCAATATTGTTGGAATGTGTGATCTTGTATGAGATTGTGTAAAGCAATTAGTAAAGACGAAAGTAACAATTATTACCTATACAATACAGATCATTTCAGCAATAATATTATAGCAACATTGCAACGTTCCAGTATTAATGTAGTTGAAGTATTATTGAAAATGTTGCAGCAATGCAAGCATCTGTGCTGTATAGATAATTTCATTTATTCAGGAACGATAAAATTGTATTGTTGAGGAGAAGATAGTCTATTTTTGTTAGCTAAAATTTAAATATATTTATTTAGATTTCAATTAGCGATAAAAGACAGTCTTTTATCGCTATTTAAACTCAGATATTTTATTTATAATGTATGGAAATTAAACTGAAAATTATCTTAGAGAAATAATAAAATTTTTGTAATCAAACGTGAATCTCAACTTTTATCAGACAATACCAATAACCTTTGTTGTTACGCCATTATTTAGCAAATTTGTATCGTGTATGTGTATGTGTGCACAGGGGTTCCCCGTTCCTTCTCATTGATCTAGTTAAAGCACTTAGTGTCTCATCATTCTTGAAGGTACTCACATAAATTCATATACGGTCACGACGTTGAGTCAATTTATCGCTTATCTTTCCGCAAGGACGATTCTTGATTCGCATCAAAATTACAAGCGAGTTGAAAGAATGAGAAAAAAAAACAGAAATGGCGTGCATTTTAGAACCAGTGGGCAGTGTGCGCCCAAAGATTCCGTCGACGGACGACGTGCGCGGTTTCCGGACTCTCGTCGGAGACTCCCCTGCCTTGATGTGCCCGGCACAGGGGTTCCCCGTTCCCCTGTACAGGTAGAGACTACAACACTGCCACTACGAGCGAACGCGAATCCTTCGGGATGACCGTTCGTCGCGGGCACGCAAGTCTCCAATTATAAACGATATGATCAGAGCCGATCGGCAGTGTGAGACCCAAGTTCCCGACGATCGACGACTCGAGGAGCTTTCGAACGACAAAGGATGGCTCGGTCACGTTGCTGTGCCCTGCTCAGGGATTCCCTGTCCCCTTGTACAAGTAAGTCGTACTAGGCGAAGTCGTATGTATTTTTCTTTCTTTCTCTTTTCTTCTTGGGTCTCGTAACCTGTCGCAGAGCCTGTGGGAAGCGTACGTCCAAAGTTCCCCAGCGTCAGCAATATAAACGGTCTCATCACGTCTACGAACGGAACTTTGCCGCTCCTGTGCCCTGCTCAGGGCTTTCCGGTCCCTTCATATAGGTATTGCATTATCGAATACCTTGATGTCATTTTGCTCTTAAAGCGAGTCTCACGTTGGTTCTCCATTAAGGAATTGCGATTAAATATTCGGTGCTTGCAGTGAAGCTGCTGGGTAATTAGCAATGACGATACACTTGACATATCGCGGTGATCCTTTTATGTCATATAACTGATTTCTTCAGCGGTATTGTCTCAATTTTATATTAATATACTCTGATGGAAAGTCCTAACGCTGTATTCATTTTTGATAATTAGAATCTTTTAATGGAAGATTTGCTTTTTAAAGGTTTTCGGGATCGCTAAATTCAATTTCAATGCAATTAAAAAAAATAATATGATTATCGTAAAACTCGATTTTAAAAGACTTTTGATATATCTAAGTTTAAATGTATTATAGTATGAAAATTTAAAAGATGTAGTAATCACCTAAACTCTCCTGCATAAAGGAAAGGTATCAGAGGGCTTAAATAGTTGGAAAATTTGTGTGTTAAATTTAACATTTAACTTTTGTATTAATTTTACAAGATGTATATATTAGAAAGTAACAAAAATTATATAAAAAAATTAATATAAAAAATGTAATACTGACGCAATTTGTAAGTAAACTGTGGAATCATATTTTTTCAGTAAAATTAACATTTATCATATGTTAAATTAACACGTATTTTATTCATACATTTTAATATTCATTTTCTGTTTATGTTATCTTAACATATTTTATACAATATTATTAGAGAGAAAATCGCTTTTTATATTATTTTCATAATTAAATGTTAGACAAAACCTATATTTGTAGCATTAACCACAGAGATTTGGACATCAAAAAATAAAATTGCGCTACGTTGCGTTTTTATCGCAAAGATTTGCAAGATACAGATTTAGTTCGAGATTCAGGGGTTCCCCGTCCTCCTGCATATAGATGATATTTTAGTTAGCGGTAATAGTGTGTACGTACGATTCAATAATGTTTAGAGCCGGTCGGCAGCGTGAAACCGAAATTCCCGACGATAGATGACATCAGAGGGTTTCGTATGATTAAAGATGGATCTGTCACATTATTGTGTCCCGCTCAAGGGTTCCCTGTCCCTATTCAAAAGTAAGTCGAAATTCACGAAGATGTTTCGTTGTGATGCATCTCACTGTCATCTTCACTTTTCCTCTTATCCTTTCCAATTACTTATCTTCTTCTCTCCCGGACTGCGACTGGCAGAGCCCGTAGCGAGCGCACGTCCAAAACTTTCGAGTATCGTCAACCTGATTGGATTCGTGACGAGGACCAACGGGAACTTGCCACTTTTTTGCCCTGCGCAAGGATTTCCGCTTCCGTCTTATAGGTAGGATAGAGCATTAAAATGGCGATTTAAATACGATGATGTAAGATCAATACCTGTAGTTTTAGAATTTTGTTTATGCAAAGATAAATGTACTAGTTAGTGGATTGTTAATGGACATAACCCAATTATTGGATGGAAAATGGACAAAAGTTTTAAATATATTATAATAGCTTTCAGTTGTTTGTACGTAAATTCGTTGTTTCTAAGTAAATTCGTTATTTACAAA